TATGCAGAGATCCCGCTTTTCAGTCTAGAGCTGTAAACTTTATCCCTCCATACGTCCAGATTTCATGTGCAATTTGGCGCTTAGCTAACTGTCACGTTGGCTATCGCTGCGCCCACTTGACTATAGGAGTCTCTCACGGTAGTTACAGAAACTTTACGCAACGTTTTGTAAAAGCCGTTGTTAACAAATTCAAGCATCTTATCGAATGGCCCAAGGACGAGCAGCGTGTCGCTGCAATCAAACATGGTTTCCAGTATGGTATAGGCCGCACTGTTCGGGGTCTACCAGCTGTTGGAGCTTTGGACGGCAAGAACTTTGTGATTGAATCAAGAACGGAACATGCCGAGGATTGGAGGGATCGTAAGGGAGACTTTGCCATGAAACTTACGGCAGTATGTGATGATAAGAGTAAGTTTACTTACATTTCGGTTGGTGATTCAGGTAATAATTTATTTGTCCGATTGTATGCAATGATGTTGATCGTTTTGACATAGGTCGTTCACACGATGCTGCTGCTTTCAACCTCAGCGAGATAGCAACAGTTGCCTTGGAAAACCCCCAAGAGTACTTTCCTTTGAATGGGTATATCCTTGCAGGTAAAATATATAAGCGTGAATAAAATCTTCGAAAAAAACTAAATATGTTTTAGACTCGGCATACCCACTATCGCACCATATAATTGTGCCTTATCCTGCTTCGGAAGTCCTTGGAAGATCTGATGATGCTTTGGCTAAAAAAAAGTTCAACAAGATCCATTCGTCAACTCGAATGGCCATTGAAAGAGCTTTTGGTATATTGGTTTCTCGCTGGAGATTCCTCAGCAAACATATATACATCAAGGATACCGGCGATATTGTGGGTATTATCACAGCTTGTTGTATTTTACACAATCTGTGTATTGAGATGAATGACCCTGTTCTGGAATTAGTAGAAGATGAGCCGAACGATGTGACGAGCGATGAGCCTGCTGCTAGGCCGGATAGTTTTAGTCAGTCAGTCAACAGCACCGCCTATCAGAATGGTCAAACTAGAAGGGACAACATCAACCCCTATATGCCTCCTCAACAATAAACCAGTAATGTTTGTAACAAAATTATATATTTTTATTGATCAGTATTATTATCATTATTTTGACCCTGTTGGTTTCGATTGGCCATATCCTGAAGGATTGCATCAACAAGTCTTGTTGTTTCCCTGTTACTTTGAGCAAACAGTTCTGCCAATCGATCACTACGTGCAAGTAATGCAGCATTGGCCTCCCGACTATACTGAAGAAAGGACTGAAAGTGGTTGTCCCTTTCCAAAGCTTGAGTTTGTTGCACCCGGTCCAAGACACGCAACATGCTGTTCTCGATGCGTTGTTCAGACGCCGATGGTAAAGGCAACATCGAAGCTACTCTTACCTGGGTAGGTTGAAAGGGCTCCGATGCGCGTGCTGGTGTTGCTGGTGGTGCTGTTGATGCTGTTGGTGCTGGTGCTGTTGGTGCTGTTGGTGCTGGTGCTGGTGGTGTTGCTGGTGGTGCTGTTGGTGGTGCTGATGGTGCTGGTGCTGGTGGTGCTGATGGTGCTGGTGGTGCTGATGGTGCTGGTGTTGCTGGTGTTGCTGGTGGTGCTGATGGTGCTGATGGTGCTGTTGTTGTTGCTGGTGGGGATGTGGTGGCTGTTGACACACGGGGTGTCTCTAATCTGCGTCTTGCAGTGGGAGGTTGATCTTGTTCACCGATAGCAAAGATCCCCTCGGAACGTACATTACCTGCTGTTGTAGGTTGGGTATCCACAGTACGTAACACATCGTCTGCAGTGTTTGTATGGGCAGTATTCTGGCTAGGACCACCAACAACCTCAGGCTCCAAATTGTCATCATCCTCAGGAGCATCTTCAATTCTTGTTCTGAACTCCCCTGAAATTGAGGAAAAAGTGACAGGTGGAAAATATGAAGGTAAGTCTTTCAGAATGCTATATAATTTGTCATAAATGATAGAACGAGCGGGTGTTGCTTGTCCAGTAGAATTACGGGTGGCGTAATTTCTTTTGAAATCCTGCAAAAGATTTGCCCACTTGCTTTTCAACTGTTCGTCGGTCCGAGGAGCACGTTCAACATTTGCTGCATGAAATTCACTCGCAAGAAGGTCAAAAATTTCATTTTTTTCCGCCAAGCTTCTAGCCGAATCCATAGCATGGAAGTGCTCATTATACCTTTCAATAAGCAACAAGGTCTCCGCTAGTCCCCATCCAGATCCTCTGAAGCGTTGTGAGCCTTCGAAATTATCTTCATTTTGGCTTCCACTTCCACGTCCACGTCCATTTCCACGTCCACGTCCACGTCCACTTCCACTTCCACTTCCACGTCCACGTCCACGTCCACGTCCACGTCCAGCGATTCCATTCTGGCTGCTCTCAGGCTGACCATCAATAGGGTAAGAAGCATTATTTTGGTTGTTCATTTTTAAAATAGGTAGAGGCAAAGGTAAAGTATGTTTATTTTGATAAGAATACAAGAAAGAAATAAAATAACATTGGCCTCTGTGCCATGTACAAATGACAGTTTAGCATTTTCCCAAATTGGAGTTGTGTTTTTTGTGACTTTTGATTTTAATTAAAGGATTTATTTGAAAATTTTAAATAATTTGCTTGAGAACACCCATAGTTATGTAGACTAGTAATGAAGTAGTAAAAAGATGATCTTTATTAAATTGAGATTCTGAATAAGTTTTATAATTGATACGGAGTTTCTACTAAAATAAGTGTGACAAGGGTATTCAATTGCCGTATTTTCGAATAAATCGTATTTTGACGAATGTCGTGACTTAGGTCACACAAATACGTTGATATTTAAAATAGTATTTTATCTCAATCATAATAAAATCATCTTTGATCCTTTAAATAATACTTTTATATATTTGGCTGTTACATACCAAAGGTCCCACGACACGAATAAAAAATTCAGCCGATCATATTTTTTTTTTAATTATTTGACCAAGTTTTTTCACAAACATTCTAGAATAAAAATTTATGATTGGTTGATTTTTTTTATTCCTCAAAATACGATTTATTCGAAAATACGGCAATTGAATACCCTTATTGTTTTTATGTGTCAGAAGGTGTCGGGTCTGATCTTGTATTAAGTAAGATATATGCGAGAGTGGAGTAGTAGATAAAAGATGGTCTTTATTTTTTTGTATGATTAAGAAATATATATATGTATCTGAATTGTACTCCGACAAAGGATTTTAATAGATGTGCTTATGTGTCAGATATAATTTTAGACTAAGGCTGCTCACATCGAACAAAATATATTGAGATCTTGAATAGATGTACTAATATAGGCAGCTCCGTTTTTTTTTTTTTTTTTTTTTTTTTTTTTTTTTTTTTTTTTTTTTTTTTTTTTTTTTTTTTTTTTTTTTTTTTACATATTATTAGTTATTTTCCAAAACACGCTTAAAAAATCTCCTTTACATATTATTAGTTATTTTCCAAAACAGGCTTAAAAAATCTCTTTTTTTAGGTTTTTATGTAACCATCACCTTCCTCATTTGAAAAAAATCCTCGAAAAAATAAAAAAGTTCAAGAAATTTGAGAGGTATTTTTTTTATATTTTTTTTGTGCCTCTTTTTTGCTTGACGAAAAATACGATTTTTTTACCTTGGATAAAAAAGATACTATTGCTGCTATATATTTTAAAAAAAAATAGGGTTGTCTTTTAAAAAGATTTTATTTTGATTTTTAAAGATTGATGAATGGTTTTTTGAACACAACACCCAAAAGAGGTAATCACAGCCAAAAATCAAAAAAAAATAATGATTGGCCAGCTTTTTATGACTAACAGCCCGCAAACGCGGCTTGTGCTTAAAAACGATGGTATCTACTCTTTTAGCTATTGCCATATTTTTTTTGTCACATAACACCCTCTTTAAATCCACTTTAAAATTAAGCACATGTTACTTGTAAACATGTTTAACAACATTGTGTGGCAGAATGCTCTTGTAAGATGAACAGTAAATTCGGAACTGTTGAAATGAGTTTTCGATTGATACATATATATTTTCAGGACTGCATATGATAAAAGGTAGTAGCTTTATTTTCCTGGGTACTTTACTCAATTCTTTGTACAATTACAGTATACCATGGTCATATTGCATTATGCGAGTAGTGGAAAATTGGAACAATAGACACACAATTAATCAAATGATTACCACGACGAATAGAAGACTTCAAAATATCTCTTTTGTGACATACGAAACGCTTAGAAAAAAAAATGGGTATCAGAAATATATTCAACTACAGTATATGAGAGCGAGAGTCATGGTTGTATTTGTCTATATATTTGAGTAAGCATCTGGGACTGGTGTGGGGACTTGTAAAAATTGCTACTTTTAGTAAATGCGATGTTGTTACTATTATTTTGTAAGCGGTGATGACGATGGATATGTGTAGCTGTTAGTTGTGTTTTTTTTTCTCAATTATGTAAAAAATATTATCAGATTCTACGGTATCAATATTTTATTTTATTTATCAGTGTGATTAGAAAAAAATGAGTCTATACCGCCAATTCTAATCGGAGTAGAGACATCTCTAGATTTGCGTGGTCGACCTCGAGGCTTCTTTGTCTGTGGGGCTTCTCGAGCTCTTCTTTCTTTTTCTTTTTGTGAAAGCTTAGGTCGCCCTCTTCCTCTTACTTCCGTGTCTTCATCATCACTTCTATCACTGATATTCTCTGCAGTTTCCTTATCTGCTAATGTGGCTGATCTGGAACCTTGCTTTTCTTTACCCTTTACAACCCGAAAAAGTCAATACAATGCTTTCTTTTATTCTTTCACTAGCGAATAAATAATGTACCTTTGATATAATTTGTTTGCGTTTCGAAGGGATTGTCGTGGCGTTATCATTGTCTGTAGACATGTCGTCGTAATGTTCAATATCAGTGGTATTATCTGGGGTTATTCAAAAACTATGGTTTCAATATGATGATAAAGTAGAAACTGAGTCGTTTAATTAATACACTAACCTTCAACAATCGGATTGGATAAATTTCTAAAATCGTTATCTGAAGGAAAATCAGAACCAGCAGCATAAAAATCCGATGCAAATGAATTATTTCTAGTGTACGCAAAGTCAGCCATAGCGCTTCTGCTACTTCCTTCCATGGGATCGTGACTTTGTGGTGTATTTGATTGTTGGATAGTATTACTGGTTCTTACTGCATCTTGGGTGGTACCCTAATTTAAAATGAAAAGAATTGTTGAAGTAAGTCTTTCTAAAGGCTTGGTCTTAATTTGCTTATGACATTTATATTCTCGCATTAATGTTACCATCTTTTCTGACAGCATGGCTTGCAGGGTTACTCGGTAGATTTGTCCTACTTTGCATAATTGTCTCTTCAAGCTCACTGTTTTCAATGTCTAATGTTTAAAGTTAATAAAAACAATTGTGCAAGTCTATGCGTTCAAAGACTCTTTTTTTAACTTACCACCTCCAGACGTGTTTGCGAAATTATAGTTTTTATAACCCCTAGTACGGTTTGCGTTTTCCTGCATGTTTCTCAAAAACTCTTCAGCCATATTTTCGCGGCTTTGGTTCTCCGTATGCTCTTCTGCACTAGAGTCAGACATACGTCTGGTATAAAAAAAATTATCAGGAGGTGCGTATGGCTCATCTTCATCAGTGTAATAAGGATTATGAGCTCGGGGTTATTGTCCTCTAGGTTATCAGGACTTTGGATATCATCACCGCGAGCTTTTTGGTTTCTTCTCTGGGCGCCCTCTAAAATTTCCCTCTCATATTCACCTATTATAGTGAGTAAATAATACATGTTAGATACATAAGACTTATTAATTTTAACAGACTGTTTGTTTTACCAAGCTCGTCATCGTTAGCAGCGTTGTCATAAAATTCAGGGCCATTTGTAAAATCCTGGCTCGTTGATAGATTTACATAAAAATATCCTTCTTTTACACCATCTCCTAAATTAATAGGCGCTAACTCAGGATGGACCATTTCTTTTAATCTTTCGGGAACAAGCGGGATCGCTGGTATAATTGTTAAATCAAGTGCCTGCATATGAAATTTCTCTTCAACAATTCTTCCCAAGAAAGCTCTCGCGGCAGGTTGTTGGCTCATAACACCGGTAGCAAGTAAAATTAATGGAGATTTTCTTTCACTTCTTGAAGCAATAGTCCACTCGTTATCGTACCCTTGAATCATGTCTTTAACTAATTTCATACTGGCAATTACTTTTACGCTATAATTACTGAAATAAAAACAAAACGTCAAGTCAGAACTATGCTTTTGAGTGTGGTTTTGATAACAAACAAAACAAATACCATATGTTTATGTATTATAACATCCTTTTTTAAAAAGTACATGTAACTATCCGTAAAAGTTTTAAATAGGTAAGGAACTTACGCAGTATAAGGCTCAAATAGTAAAAAATACATGTTTTCGCTTGTGTTATCTAACTCCATTGAGTGTGGAAAAAATACACCAACAAATGATGATGTTATGACGGATTGCATTGATTGTAGTTTCTATATTATATTTATGATATTAATGTACCAGTCGTTTTGAGCTTGGTAACGGAACATTTTATATTTCAAATTCAGGCGATGTACCGGTAGCCTAGAAGCATTGCAGCTTGTACAAATTAAGATATATCCGATTCGTCTTTATGACTTGTAGCTTCGCATGTAAAACTTTCGATGCCATATATTTAGAAAGGACAACTTCCATTGGTTATACTTGTGTAACAGTTAAAAAAGTCAATGCTGCAAATATGTCTTATTCCGAATTACATCAACTAAAACTCAGCTTCTTTCCAAGTCTTGTAATTGTGTCAGCTCATTCGGGCATGTATCAATTAGAGTCTCGAACCCATCAACTACATGATCGTGTAAACAAATTTATCTATTTACTTTAATCCTCCGCTTTTTTCTTTGTCGGAAAAAGATGTAATGCGGGAATGTATATTTTGAATCACAAGTTTTCAATCGTAAGTGATGTACTGTGGAACTGGCGGCGGTTAATTATTGATAAATAATTTGGAATGATAAATAACGCATCAAATAACACAAGCCTTATGTAATATATATCGTTCATACGGTCTATAGCAATCGCTTCGTTTGCTACATATATATAAAGGATGGTGCACCCAATCTAATTTTCAGTAACAACGATTTCTCTTTCATTTCTCGGGATGTGAACAACGAGGCGGCCTTTTTGTTTAAAAATGGTAAAACTTAAATTAGCCCGCCATTGTTTAAAATTGAGTGTCAAAAAGCTTAAATAAACTACAGAAACAAATAATTTTGATGGCTTTTACTATATTGGGGTGATTCCTTGACTGTCAAAATACTCATGTGACATAATTTCACTGACCGACAGTACCATGTCATCTATGATGGTTTTACACAGCTAAGGATACCAAGTTCGATTATTACACTGTTTAAAATGTAGCTTGATCGAACAATTGGTTTTACTCCTTTTAAATCTATTGGTTATGTCCACAATGTCGAATATCAGCTTTTGTAATAATACTACAAAAGTCATTAGTAATCGGAGGTGGTTTTTCTGTTGTGTTACCTCTCCCATATTCGTGAAACCGGAATTTTCCTTTTTCTGCTTTACATATTCTGTAGCGCTATTACTGCTTAACAGGAAATAGCCGCTTCAGTAACATATTTGTATACAAAAAAAGGTACCGTTTATATTGCGGAGTAATTATTTTAGTATGAATCATGGTAATTATACTATTCGCAAAAACAGTTTGGTGTTGTTGCCCACAATTGACAGTGATACTCTGATGCAAGCCATTATTCATTGACAAAACCGGAGGGCATATTTGTAGTCAAAGTTTAAAGCTACAACCTGTTTTTGATGCAAAAATCTGAGATTATGGGTGGGTATCTGATGTACAATGTACTATTTTAGATTTTCCCGATCCCCAATCTAATCCCCAATCCCTAACTATAGAAATCCTTAATCACTGACCGGCAGTCCCTGATTATCGTCGCGTCAAATACAGATGTTAAAAAACTATAAATATGGCTATGAATTCGAATCTGAATCACTGTATACAAAAAAAAATTATCTCAAATGCTTGTAGGCGAAACCACTGACGCTATTATTTCTTCCGCTCCCATTTTTCGTGTCAATGCAAGAACCGTTGTACTTGAATCGAAATGCATTGATTCCGGTGTACGAATTAAACTTTTCACCTCTCACCCTGCTTTAATGTTCTACTTTATTAGGTTTGGTGCAGTTGGCTCCCGCCACCACTTTGTCGGTAAGTTTGATTTATATATTTGAAAAGGATGATTAATTAAATGAAAATTCATAGGCTCATTGAATGTATCGGCCTATACGTTCGATGACAGCACCAGAGCCTTTGCAAACATCAGGCTCAGTGTAACTGACGCGAAGCCTATAATTCAGGTTGATGATGATGGAGAGATCATCCCAACACTTGCAAAAAGAGTAAGAACGAAGGAGTTCCAAAGAACCCACCAATTTTTAAAAATGAAATTTGTGGTATATAAACATGTCTGGGAGAACATTCAAGATCAAAACGTTGTAATCAACAGGGGGCTGAATTCTGAGGCATTTGCCCTTCAGCTTAGTGATATGTATGAGGACTTGGGTAAACTAATTTATGCTTTCAAATATATATATATATATGTGTCATCTCACATTTTTAAAAAAATTACTTTATATTTGTAGTATCCAAGGGGTTGATTGTAGAGAACTACAACCCCGTTTTTGTGGAGGAAAGAATCTCTCGACCCCAGTCTGATCCCAATACCAACAGACCTGTTCTCGGGTCATGAAAACAATCTATAGCTACAATAACAGCTGTAAGAGATTGGAAGACTCTTGGGATGATCGCTCCTTTGGGTATGATACCCTTTTGAATGACACGACCGCATTCAGGGATTCTGATATTATCAGTGATGAGCGTGAAGATATTAGCAGCGAAAGCTAATTTAGAAAAAATAAAGTTTTTTTTGTTCATTTGTGTAACCATCCTTTTGATAATTGCAACCTTTCAATTATGTAACTATCCGCAACAACAGGTTGCATATAAATACGAATGGGTTTTTTTGCTTCCCTGATTCATATATCCTTTTTTTTTTACTTCAATACGCAGCAATGTTTTACAGTTTCCGTGTAGGCAACAACAACTTATCATCCTTCACCAATGCCCAGAAGAATCAAGTTAAAAGGTTCCAAGACTTTATCATGGAAAAACCGGATGGCTTCTGCTGTCTTTGCTTGAAGGCTTTGTACCCTGAAGAAAGACGTTTTAGAACTTTCGAAGATGAAACCAACTTGCCCTGTTTGTCTTGGAAGTTACAACCTCTTTGTGATTCTGAGATCCAGCCAAAAAAATGGTTTGCAAGTCTCATGTCAACACACCCAAAGAAGATTTTGTAAGCTTGAAAATGGTTTATCCTGGTAAAGTATACAATTGCTATTTTTTTTCAAGTATATGAATTATTAATATGAATCTAAACTTTAGGTGATCTTGCACCCGAAACAAAGAACTTGAACTATAGAGAAAGATCAGTTTTGTTGCCCATCAAGCTTATGTCTCATATTACCAGAAAATCTACTTTGACTCATGGAAGAATTGGTCATTTTGAGGTCAAGGGTCCAATGTATACCACTCACAACTACGAGTTTGCAGAAATGGCTTACGGTGGTACTATGAGTTTGTTTTTTGTCCGTGGTGATCCAGCAATGATTAGAAAAAAGAATGTCGAAGATGCATACAAAGCACTCCAAGCAACACATCCTTTGCTGTCTCGTTACGATTTACCCAAGCTGACTTTTTCTTTGGTAAATTACCATGTGTCCGAAAACAAAAGACATGTTGATATTGACTAAGGCTGGTTGATCAATGCACTTTTTGCCAATGAAGACGTAAATCCACAAGCATCTGACGTCGAATTCAAGGACTTGATTATCGGTGAAGATAATGTGGGAAAAATGATTCGCTATTCTCATCCAAGTCTGTTAGCTCTCCTGTTCCCGTATCTTTATACCACTTGTACCGGACATTATTCTATGGTTCCTCAAAACTTACCAGGGTTCTCTGACCGCTCTGGTATCTATGGTCTGCCTGAAAACCAAGGGGGTGTCTCTGTAGCTACTATGATGTCTGAAAGTATTACAAGTTATACTAAAAAAAGATTATTGATTCAAGACAGAAGATTTGCAAGGGATCCATCCTTTTTTTTTTTTATGCTAGACTTGATCGAAAAGAAAAACATAGAGTCAGCAAACAGATCTGTGGTGTCTACTAAGGGCAGAAGCAACTTGAAGCAAGCGGATGTAGTGAACCCTTCAACTGGAAAACTAAACAAAAATATTGTGTCTACTGTACCTTCTCAAATACGTTCATCTTATGCATACAAAAGACAAAACGTTTTTGACCTCCAATGTATATTTGATAATCTTGGTGCCCCTCAGCTTTTTATTACATTTACTTGCGATGACAAAAGCGAGGATTTCAAAGGTATTCTTCGTGATGGTTCTCAATTCGCGTGGGATGATCCTGTATTATTCTCTCAACACTTTAAAAGAAAATGGCTTGAATTTTTTACGGTATACATCTGCAAGCACTTTGCTAGGCAAATTGGAGGCATCAAGGAACATAGTTGGGTAATGGAGATTCAAGACCGTGGAAGCCCACATATCCATTTGGTGCTTTGGACCAACAAGTCTGTTCAAGAGCTAATTGATATGAATGTTGTTCATACCTGGTTTCCACATCCACGCTCGGCCGATCCTTTAATGTATGATTTAGTCAACAAGTTGCAACTTCATAAGTGTAATGATAGGTAATCTTTCTTTTTCAAATTTACTAGCAATAAACATCATTTACTAACTACTTAACTCTCATTACACGTATTGTAAGAGAGGTGATCCCACCAAGAAGTGTCGTTTTGGCTACCCTAAACCGTATTCTCCTGCTACCGTTCTTGACTCAGAACATAGTTGTACGTACAAGCGCGATGTCGGTGATGCATATGTTAACAACTATAATCCCTATCTTTTGGCCGTCTTTAAAACGTCGATGGACATTCAATACAACGATGGACCTCAAGCAGTTCGGTACCTTGCGAAATATTTATCCAAAGACGATTATGAAGCAAAAATTATTTTAAAAAATATTCAAGTTCAAAACCAAGGCTATTACAAAAGGACAACATACGTTTCCGAACGTGAGCACTATTCCACAAGAATTGTTGGAGCTGTCGAGGCAACATATGATCTGATGGGTTGGAGAAAGCACAGCAATTCCAGAAACGTGCTATTCCTAAGTACAAACCTCATGGGTCAGGACACTAGACGCTTGCGGGACGATGTGAAGGATTTGGAACCTGAAGACGAACAAATTTACTCGATGACTCCTGTTGGTAAGTAATAACTTGTAGTCTTTTATTTATAAAGCTAACTTTTTTTTCTCCTAGAATTGTACGAGAAACGGAATGGTGCTGAAAATCTTACCATGCCC